GTGTCTCTGTCAAATAAATAAAATCCTTTAAAAAAAAAAAAAAGTCCATTTTCCCACAGATTCAAGGTGCCACCTTTATGATATACTAACACATCTCTGTGCCGTGGGGCTGATTCCGGGCTCTCTTCATTTTCTTTGGCTGGCCCGTCTGTCCTGCTCCAGGATCGCTTACTGAGGAGGCTCTGCCTGGTGGGCAAAGGCACGGCCTTGCTCTCCTTTTAGAGGTTTTTTTCTGCCTACTTTTGCTTGATTTTCTTCCCAAATGAATTGTATGAGCAACTTGTTAGCTCCAGGAAAAAACAAACACAAACAAAGCAAAGAAAGAGCCCAAACCACAGTGAAACATCCCTGGTGGTGTTTTCATCGTGCTGGTAAAGCTGCTCGGGAAGGAGCCACAGGCTGATGAGGTCTCCGGGCCTAACCTGCCTTCCACATGCTCAGCCCACTCTTGAGTCTTTCCAGAGAGAATGACAGCCTCCCTCACTCCCCTGTGCTTACTTTGATTCCGTCAAATCCAGATGCAAAGCCAGGTCATCTGCAAGCAGAGGTGGTTTTAAATCTTCCGTCGCCATCTTTTGGCCTTGACTCAGGCGCTGTGTTTGCTGGCTGGGATGGGGCTGCGTGGGCGCCCACTGCACTCTCACCCCGTTTCCTCGTCCACATTCCTCATCCGTGAGGGGGCGGTTGCCGTGGGCGTGACATGAGAAGATGAATATGAACCGCCCCCGATTGAGGGCCCGTCTGTGGATGAGGGGTCCTGTGTGGCTAGGTCCTGCCTGCATTTGGCTCACCTAGCATCCTGCTGGGGGCCCTGGGGCAGGAACATGGCCAGACCTGTTCCTTCTGCCTGGGAAGGAAGCTCCCCTGGATGGCACTGGGACCCTTCGGTTTCAAATAATTAATGAAATATTCATTACTCTATGCCAGTCCTGCTGAAACATCTGGGAACGAGGCAGACAAAATCAGGTCCATGGGGCTGCTGGAAGAGGCGGGCAGAGGCGGACAAGTCAGCAAACCGGGTGCGGGACGAGAGGTGGGGGTGAGGGGCGTCAAACCACCCAAAGGTCAGCACAACTCCACCTCCACCTCCTGCGCATGCCCGCCCGTCCTGGGAGACACCGACCCCAGCTCTCCCTGGCGAGGCGCAGCCCGCCGTGGGGTCTGGACGTGGGTCTGCGTGTCAGGGAAGCCAGGCGCCCTCCGGAGGGTGGTGCCATGGAGGCCGGCGCTCCTGCTCTCTTTCCTCCATCCCTGCTGGACTGCCCGCCCCCCAGCATTCCAGAAGCTCCCCAGGTGGGAGCAGGAGGCACTTTCCTCATGGTGTTTGAGGCTTTAAGTACCTATTGTCAGGCATTTGCTTTCTGGGGAACAAAAACTACTTGGAAAGGAAAAGAGCTTGGGGTGAATCACTAAATCTGCAACGCACACCAACAGCATTGAATTAAGATGGCAGTTACCCTGCCATCACCCACCACTGCTCCTGGGCTGTCCCTGGGCGCTACGCATGGAACCCCAGCCGCCCAGGTGCCCCGGTCAGCAGAGCTTATTCCTCTTGGCGCTTCAGTCCGATTCCATCCTGCTTGTCTGCTTCAGTCCTCGACTGGAGGAAGCGGCTCAGAAAGCCCAGACCAGGTCCTTGGAGGAGATGGTTGAATGCGGCAGCCTGCTCCCAGGCCCGAGCACTTCCACTCCCATCCTGTAAATGCCGCCTGAGCGGGGACAGCGGGGATGGTGGGAATGGCGGGGATGGCGCCCAAGCCCAGCACTGCAGATCCTGCTTGTCCGAGCTCTCCCGTCAGGGGCCGAAGCAGAGTCCCAGGTCTCCACCGCCAAAACCTGGGCTTCTGCCGCCCCTCTTCTGGCCGGCGGCCTCAGCACGCGGCTGTCCCCACCCCGCCAGCCTGGCCTTCTCCTCCCACTGGGCAGGGAGGTGATGCTGAGGCTGAGACCCACCTAACAGGTGTGTCTGGGGGCTGGACCCGCAAACCCCGAGCCGTGGAGAGCCCCCTCCCATCATCAGACGGCTGGCTAGCAGTATCTCCTGGCACTTGAGACAATTTCCTCTTTCAGAATTTCACCGAGTCCTGGAAGGCAGCTCTGAGTCGCTCCACGGCTGGGGCCTTGGTTTCCCCTGTTGAAGGTGCCCGGCCTCCCTGGACACGGCCTGTCCAGAAGTCGGCGCTCTCCTACCTGAGGGCAGTGTCCGCTGGAAACAGGGCTGGCTTTGCTCTTGCGTCCATCCGTCTGTCCCTCTGTGTGGCGGGAGCTGACTGTCGTCGGCAGCAGGACGGACTGCACCCTGGGATGTGGTGTGAGCGCTGGGCTCCCTGGGCCCTGTCAGCAGGACCTCACCCGTGATCCCAGCTGTCACATGCAGGATGGGCCCGTGGTAACCCACACGTCCACAGTCCACGACCGCAGCACCGTGTCAGCCAGGTCTCCCAAAAGTGGGAGGGGGTGGCTGGCCTTCAGCTCTCCGGACTGCCGGCCTCGCGGGGAGCCACCGAATGTGCCTCGTTGGGCAGACGTGGAGGCGGTTCTGAAGCTCCAGGCTTCTCCTCCCATGACCTCGGCCAGGAGCCCCGGTGGGGGTGCAGTCTGCCTGCCGCTCTGGGCCCCTCGGGTGTGCAGCCGACGGGGGGAGCCCGCCAGCCATGCCCCTCTCCGCACAGGCCCAGAAATCCTGAGGAAGAGCGTCGAGAGCCGGGGTGACAAGCAGGTGACTGGGCTTTACGCCTGTGATCACTTACCTGCCGGGAAACCCTGGTCTCCACTGCTCCTTTTTGTCAGTCTGCGTCCCTGGGGACGGCCCCAGATCGGAGGTCGGGCTCATGGAGACGGGGACGCAGCACAGCCCGTTGAGCCCGGCGGTCCGAGGCCCTTTGGGAGAGCGCTTGGGCTGTCCCTCCTGCAGATGACTTTTGGGCCATTTTGCTGAAATGAGGAAGATTCTAGAAAGCACATGGTTCTCACACTGGTGGCCTCATGCGTGGGGGGGCCTTGCCTCCGCCCAGTCTCTGTCCAGCAAGGCCCGGAACCCTGTGCGACAGACAGGCCGCCCATCTCCGCCCAGCAGCCCCGACAGCTGGGAAAGAGAGCAGACGTGGACCATGCCTTCTAGTGACACTGGCCACCCTTCTCCGTCCCTCACGGCTCCCAGGACAGCGGGCGGCCCGCCATCTTGGCTTCCTGGGTCCACTGTGACAAAAGACCACACACCGGGGCCCCTCCCTCTGGTCATCACATTTCCTCTTGCCATGGGAAGACGGGAACTGCTCCCAGCCTTTATCCACATGGGAAGCCTTGGCGGCATGGATGGGGCAGGACGTTGGCTGTGGCCCCCCCTCAGGGACGGGGCTTCGGTGTGTCTGCCCCCACCATGGTCTGGGCACAGCAGGAAGGACGGGCTTAACTCGGGGCATCCAGACCAGGTAGGGGGGCTTTGGAAACACGAAGCGACGCAGGTCTGAGGCTGGCCCCCGGATCCCTGGCTGCGAGCTTTCTGGCAGTCAGCCCAGCTAGAGGCAGTTTTAGGCAGAGCTTTGCAGGGGGCTTGGTGGCCTGCACAGGCCCCCGGGTGGGTTGGAGGTGGGAGCTGAGCAGGCTCAGAGGTCCTTGTAGCCCAGCATGGCAGGATGCCCCTCCGTGCCCGTGGGCGTCACCCCGGCAAGCTTTGCCTCCCTGGGGGCTGGCAGGGTGGTGCGCGGCGTTACCTCGGAAACTGCATCTGCAGCTCACGAAGGCCCTGTCCTGGATCATGTGGGCGCATTCGGCACTCGGGCTACAGCTGCTCAGCTGTTGCGTCCGCAGCCCAAAGCCAACGGTCACCCATCGCCTGCCCGCCAGACACCCATACTCCGTTCCCGTTTCTGCCTGCGTCCGGGACCTCGCCTCCACATCATGCATTCAATGCCGGAGCCTTGGGTTTTGCTTGGCATTATAAAAAAGGTCACACGTCATTAAAAGTCTTTATAAAAGTTGTTTCCGTGGCTGCGTGGTATTTCACGGAGCTCACTTGCCCATGTCTGTAAGGTTGTTGGAAGTCAAGGTTGCTTGAAAGTCTGTTATTAGCAGTTTGTTCAACTATGATGAACATCTTCTGAAAAAAGCACCTTCATTTCTTAGGATGCATTCCTGGTGAGGGAATGTGGGCTTCCCCCACACGGGCTGGATCCCGGGGGTTTGGCCTGAGACTCTGATGCTCACTGACACTTCTGGTCAGGGCCAACCTGCCTTTGGGTGAGGCGCCGGGGACAGCCTCCCACCCACCTCAAGTTCTAGAATCTTCCACTTCCTCCCGTTCTTTCCCACCCCCCACCCCACCCTGGCTCCTGTGGCTTGGAGATCTGAAGCCCGAAGGCGAGGGGACCCTCACATGTGGCTTGGGTTATCTGTCCCTGAGTGGTCTCTCTACAACCTAAATGGGGGACATGGCATTGCCCCCCCTCCCCCAGCCCACGATTTTGTGCATTAGCCCCGCTTCCTTCTGGAGACCTTCGTCCCTGGCTCTGACTGATGCCCCTTGGCCACCCGGGCTTGCCCCAGCCAAGTCTGTGTGCTTCTTGTGTCTCTCCGTCCCAAACGTGTAAGCACCATCAACAGAGCTAACTGACTTTGCAGTTCAGTGCCCCAGGGGGTTGGCATTTAAGAGCCATGCAAGGACTCCCCTGTCGTCACAGGAGGGTCCCTGTTGCGATGGGGATGGTGGCCGAGGGTTGATGAGGACAGCAGCTCTTGCACATGGGGCCTTCCCGGTGCAGGACTCTGGCTGAGGGGGTCTTCCTCAACCTCCCCCCACAGCCTGCCAAGTCAGCGGCTGCTCCGAGCCCCAGGAAGGGGTGCCAGATCACCGCTGGGGAAGGGCCGGGGCCCCAGCGCTATACTCTTGGCTGGGTCCTGCCCCACCAAAGACATCCAGTCGTTTCCGGGTCGCGTCTACAGCGGGCAGGGTGGGGGGTGAGGGTGGTGGCATCGACGTGGACATTCCGTCTGCCCTCCAGGTGTGCATCGTGCAGAAGCGGGACACAGAGAAGATGTACGCCATGAAGTACATGAACAAGCAGCAGTGCATCGAGCGGGATGAGGTGCGCAACGTGTTCCGGGAGCTGGAGATCCTGCAGGAGATCGAACACGTCTTCCTGGTGAACCTGTGGTGGGTGACCTGCCACCACCCTCCCCTGCCCCAGGGCCCTTCCCCGGTGCTCCCTCCTCCCTTGCCTTGGGGACACCCTGGCTCTCCAACCACTCAGCTTCTGGTTCCCCGGGGCCAGAGCTGTCCAGGTGTGCAGGGCGCACCATGTCAACGCAGGTCTCCCCACCCACGGAAGGGCCAGGTTTTCCCGCAAAGAGGCCTGTGGCCCAAGGAGTTTCTGCCACTAAGGCCAGTGGGGAGAGTATTGGGCGCCTGAGTTCTTCCATAGAATGGGCACCCAGACCAGCTCCTGGAGGGGAAGGAGCCCTTTACTGCAGTGAAATCACTGCCTCTTTCCTACGTGGGAGTCCTGTTGCACGAGGGTCCTCCCCGACACGAGGTCCTCACTGAATCCTCCCGGACAGCCCCCATCCTGGGGTCTGTGCTCCCTGATGGGCTTACTGACTGGGCGGCATTCCCAAGGGCCCTTGTGGGCATAGGAGCTCAAGCAGCTGGGAAGGCGTGCGGTGAATGGGTTCTGGTCCTGGTAGTGCCGCCTCGGGACGATTGAAACATCCCCCCAAGTATGAGCGGGGGGTCCGTCAGCCGAACGTGGAGGGAGAGGCAGCCCCACCAGCATCTGGGGACAGAAAGGTGGGACAGGGCATTGTTGAGAGCGACCTGGTGCTAGCTCCTCCGGGGACACACTCGGGGCTGAAGACCCCCCTTTGGTTATTCACCTGGGGCGACCACAGGTGCAGGAGGTCCTTCAACGTGACCAGCAGGCCGCAGCCAGCTCCGCGAGTCAGAACCCGGGGTCCTGCCTGGTTGTAACACAGGAGGAAGAGTTGGCTGTGCCACAGGGGGCGTGGCCTTGCCCAGGTGCTGAGCCAGGCCTGCAGGGCAGTGGGGCCCGGGGCTGCCCAGGCCTCCTCCGGCTCCTCACCCCCGGATGCGGCCCCTGACTTCCCTTGCTGTGGCTCCACAGCCCTACAATTGTCTAGTCTCTGTGCGAGCACAGGTGAGCAGGGCCACACCGCATCATTGTGCTCCATGGTGGCGTTTTCAGCATCCTGGGACAGTGGTTCTAAAGCTGGAGGCATCCAAGCACCCCTTAAACCTGCCCTCTCTGCCTGATGGCCAGGGAGGGTCAGAGCCCTTGTCCTCAAAGGTGGTGACTGCTCCGCTAGGGTGGTAGTTCAGTGCGGTGTAAACGACCTGCTTGCAGCCTCACAGGAATGGGTTGCTATCTGTGGTTGACCCTCAACCATGACACGGCATGGAGGCTTGTCAAGAAGGAAGGCCTGGGATTTCCCAACATGGGGGCTTTAGCTTCCCTCCCAGGCCGTCTGGGCCTCTCTTGGGGAGGCAGGGTGCCTAGTGGCCAGGACATGGGCTCCTGGGTTGAACTTGTCCACCCTGCCGCAGTCACCTCTTCAGTGGAAGAGAGGTCAGAGTGGTCCCCAGTGCAGAACAGGAGGTGCATCTATACAGGCAAAGTGCTCCACCCAGGTGAGGCAGGATGGGAGCCATCGTTACAGTTACTCCTCCCCTCCCGCCCTGCTGCAGCCAGGACCCCATCTGCACAGGCTGGCCTGCCTCCCACCATCCCAGGGCCGGGTAGCACAGGGCCGCTGCAGCTTCACCTTCCGTTGTGGGAGGCCATCTGCTCTCGTCCACTGCTCCCCAGGACTCATGACCTGTCCTGGAGCCTGGCATTCCAAGTCCCTTTGCTCTCTGGTCCCATATCCCCCTCCCCAGGCCACCTGTCCCTGAGATGAGGGCAGGGTGGCTTCTGGTGGGCAGGCAGAGGAATAGCACATAAAAAAGTCAATTCTTTGTAACGTCATTCTGAAAGAGCCAGTTGCTTAACAATAAGAGCTCCCTCTGAGAGCTCACAAAAGAAATTACAAAGTGGAAGGAGATCCTTAAACTGTTGTTTTGTTATTGCCATCATCATCACCATCACCATCACCACCATAATCACCATCACCACCATTGTTAGAAGCTGGTCCCTTGTGCAGCACTGCCTGAGCATTTTGCCTTGTGGTCTCCATTCCTTAACAATCCTCCAAGGCAGATGTTTTTATCCCCTTTTTAGAGAAGAGGAGCAGCAGGGAAATGGCCAAAAATGATGCTGTGTTCTCTCCACTGGTCACTCCCAGCATCTCTATTCCCCACTGGGCTGCCTCCCATCAGGACCGGCTGCTCTGTCCTTCCTGAGGGTCCTGGCTCAGAGCAGCTCCTGAGCACGGGCAGAGTCAGTGCCTTGGGCAGGGCCTTGCTCCTGGGGAGTGCCCGTGGGAGGTGGGGGTACCCAAGCCCTTAGATGGTTCATCAGGTGTGGCAGGAGCTGTGACCTCGGTTCCCCTGTCATGCGTGTGCCACGTTCTCCCCCGGTGCCCTCAGGTACTCCTTCCAGGACGAGGAGGACATGTTCATGGTGGTGGACCTGCTCCTGGGCGGGGACCTGCGCTACCACCTGCAGCAGAACGTCCAGTTCTCCGAGGACACGGTGAAGCTGTACATCTGCGAGATGGCGCTGGCCCTGGACTACCTGCGCAGCCAGCACATTATCCACAGGTGTGTGCACACCGGACAGCTGGGCCGCCTGCCTAGGCCAGTCCACCTGCAGAACTTGGACAGGCTCCTGCATGGGCTGCCCACCCCCTGGCCTGCAGACCGCCCTCAGGTGTAGCACCTGGGCCCATCAGCGCCTGGCTCCAGGCCAGCCCCACAGCTGTGCACCTGATGCCCCCCTGGGGGTGGGTCTTGTGCGAGCAGCCCCCGGCTAGCCAGGATGGGGGTCCCCTTCATCCGGTCTGTCCAGTTGTGGGATCCCGGCCACCACCTAGCAGAGGCCATTTGCTCATCTGCCATGCCCCTGGGGACTGAAACGAATTTTAACATTAGCTGAAAGCAAGTTAGGAAGATAAAGCTGTACCCGAGAACAAAACAAGCAAATGCATGTGGTGTATTATCAAGTTGGATGGGTGGGATCTCTGCATCTCTGCCCTGGGGGATTCTGTTATCTGGTTACGATTCAGGCACGAAACATTGACTGAGCACCTGGAAGTCAGGCAAGGTGAGGCCTGAGGCCAGCTGGTGGAAGGCAGAGACCCAGATCATCAATTCGGTGCAGCCCCAGGGCTCTGGGAGAGGGGCCAGCCTGGGGGTGCGGGTGAGGGGGCTCTGCATCTGTCCTCGGAGGCTCCAGCACCCCTGTGTCCCAGTGCATTCTCCCGGGTCTGTCTGGCCTCAACAGGTGGGGGGCTGGAGGCGTCCCCAGCCCCAAGACCAGGATAGCTAGTTTAACCTGGCTCCGTCAGAATGTTGCCAGGTGGCAACTTCTTAAGGCCCACTTGGGTCTCTGGGGCCTCTGCCTTGAGTGGGGAGGGGCCCTTGAGGGGACGCCCCACCCTGCCAGGGACTGCAAGGCACGAACGGGGCTCCTGGACCATCTCCCCATTTCCTGCTCCCTCAACAGGGACGTCAAACCCGACAACATCCTGCTGGATGAGCAAGGTGAGCCGAGGCTGTGTGAGGCTGGACGTGGGGGCGTGCGCCTCGCCCATGGGATGCGTCTCCAGCCCTTGGGACACTTGCATTGTCTTCTCTGCTCGCAGGGCATGCGCATCTGACCGACTTCAACATCGCCACCATCATAAAGGACGGGGAGCGGGCCACCGCACTAGCTGGGACCAAGCCGTACATGGGTGAGCCGAGGCCACGGGCCCACTGCTGGGCGTGCTGTGTCCGACCCAGGCCGGGGGGGGGAGGGGGGGCTCAGGTCACTCCCCTGAAGGCACAGGACGGTGTGGGACGGAGGCAGGCTGCTAAGCACAGCCAATTTGATCCCACAGCCCACACCAGGGGGAGGAGGGGCCCCCAGGCAGTTAGTGGAGGAGGGGGCCTGGGGCCTGTGGGTCCAGGATACTCAGCTACCTCTCCGTTCCTGGAAAGCTCCGGAGATCTTCCAGTCTTTCGTCAGTGGTGGGAGCGGCTATTCCTTCGAGGTGGACTGGTGGTCAGTGGGGGTGCTGGCCTACGAGCTGCTACGTGGATGGGTAAGGAGCTGGCCCCGGACCCTGAGCTGGCTGTGTCCCCCAGCGGTGGCCCGAGTGCCCAGGGAAGGATGAGGCTGCCCCCCCCATGGGTGCTCAGGGACAGCCGCCCGCTCCGTGGATGTATGCTTTCAGTGGAGCGTCTCCATGGAGAGAGACTGTCTGAGCAGGTGCAGGAGTGGAAGCCCCCGAGGGTCCCCTGGGGCCGTGGGCAGGTCAGAGACCTGTCAGCAGGTCGGCCTTCTTGGGACTTTCCTGTGGGGGTCATCCTGGTGGCCACCCCGTCATGGGGCCTCCGAGACCCTGCACCCTGAGCCACGCCGCCCACCCCTCCTGGCCTCAGGGCCCACCCACCCAGGCCCAGGCCTTCTCAGGGGTGACGTGCTTCCTTCCCGGCCCCGGGCTCCCCCTGGGAGCTGTGCCTGCGCTGGGGGTGGTCACCGCCGCAGGTGCCTCTGGGCGTGGGGGTGGGCACCTGGTGTAGCGCTGCCTCCCCCCCCAGAGGCCCTACGACATCCACTCCAGCAACGCCGTGGAGTCCCTGGTGCAGCTGTTCAGCACGGCGAGCGTGCAGTACGTGCCCACCTGGTCCAAGGGGATGGTAGGCCTGCTGCGGAAGGTGAGCCTCTCCCGTCGGAGGAAGGCCGCGCCCGCCCCCGACCCCCCCCCCCCCGCCCAGGCCCACGGCCCGTCCGGCCACAGGCTCTTTGCCGAGCACTGGTTGTGAGCTGAAGCCCACGTGCCCGTTGGCTCACCTAATCCCCACGATGATCACCCCATTTCACAGATGCCCAAACTGAGGCACAGGTCACCGTGTCAGGCGTGCTGGGGGGAGGGCACGTGTGGGCTGGGAGCCGGACCCACGCCGTGCTCCGGCCTCCTCTAGCCCGTCCTTGTGTCGGAGATGAGCTGGCCGCAGCTCCAGCAGCACCCAGAGAAGACCCCAGAGCCCCCTGCACCTCCCACGGCCTGAGCGTGCGGCTGCGGCAGCCCAGGGGACCGCAGCCTGGCAGGGACCTGGAGATGCTCTCCGAGCGTCTCCAGCCGGGGTGCAGGTCTGGGCTGGCCCCACCGCGCTCCACTCAGGGAGCCCCACGTGGAGCACACCGGTGCCTCCGGGCTCAGGACCGGGCGTGGGAGAGCCTGCTGGACACGCAAGGCTCAGCCGGCTCTGGCTCCCGGCCCACAGGGCCCTCCTCCACGTGCCCTCACCCCTGCGGGAGACCTTCGCCCTGGAATGATAGCCGAGCAGCCGGAGGCCTCTCCCGGGCCCCAGGGGGCTCTCCACCCAGTCTCTGCTGACAGTTCTGCCCACACCTGCCCAGGTGGTTCCCGCAGTGAGGCCTTGGCCCCCAGAGACCCAAACAGGGAGCGGGGACCATCCATGCGCCAAGCCTCACGCCTTGGGGAAGCCTCAGATAGGTCTACCTCCTTTCCTCTAAGAGGAAGGACAGCATGTGGGGGGACACCCAGCCTGCGTGACCTGGTCACACAGGGCGCCCTGGGGCTCCCTAGGGGCTGTGCCCAGGACCTTGTGGCCCTCCCTGCAGCTAGCCAGGCTGAGGCTGCCGCCTGCTGGTGAATTGCAGTAGAATGTCCCTGGGCACCCCACATGCCCTCTGCTGGCCTCTGCTGGCCTTGGGTTCCAGGGGCTTGGCCAGGTTGTCCCCTTGGCCACATTACTGGACTGACCCGAGGTAGATGCCCCCTTTCCTTGCCTGACCCTTGAGATCCTTGTAGTGAGGCCTCCCTGGGGTACCCTGGCCCCAGGTCAGGCGGTCAGCTCTGTGCACCAGGATCGTGCTGGGCCTGGGCACCGTCTGACGTGGGCCCCGTTCCAGCTCCTCACTGTGGACCCCAAGCACCGAGTGTCCAGCCTGCAGGACATGCAGGCAGCCCCGTCACTGGCCGGCGTGCTGTGGCAGGACCTGAGTGAGAAGAAGGTGGCGCCAGGCTTCGTGCCCAATGTAAGCCTGGCAGGCGATGGGCAGCGGCTCTGGGCAGGTGTGGGCCCACCGGCAGGCAGGGCTGAGCTTCCTGTCCCCCCACAGAAAGGCCGCCTTCACTGCGACCCCACCTTCGAGCTGGAGGAGATGATCCTGGAGTCCAGGCCTTTGCACAAGAAGAAGAAGCGGCTGGCCAAGAACAGGTCCCGGGACAGCAGCAGGGACAGCTCGCAGTCGGTGAGTGACGGGCCTGGTGCGGGGTCCTCCCTGCCTTACCCTGATCTGAGGGCCCCCCCCGACCTGAGCCCCGCTCGTCCTTCTCCTACGCAGGTGACATCCCTCCCGTTCTGGCTGTGGTGCTCGGGCTGGGGACGCATCATGCCCAGCTCTGCTCCCGGGTCTCCCACACTCTCCCTGTGTGTGTCTCCTCTTACAGGGACACCCTAACCCCAGATGACCCTCTCCTGACTCTGTCACATTCCAGGGAGCTGCAGGGTAGGATGTCAGTCTGGGAGGGACACAGTGTAACCCACAGCAACCCCTCTCCTGCCCCAGGAGGGTGGGGGCGCTCCTGGGGAGCTCAGGCTGTGGGCATGGGATCAATCCTGCACCTGTCCCCCGGGGAACAGCTGGTACTCAGAAGCACCTGGAGGTACAGGGGTCACAGTGGTGACCCTGTAAGCCACTGGTGACCCCCTTCCACCCCTGGACCCGTCTGAGCTGGCGGAGGCCCCCAGCCCAGTGTCACCTCCTCACACCTGCTCCCCTGCACAGGGTCAGGTGGGAGGTGGGTGTCGCCCCCTGCAGGGCTGCAGGTTTGCGGGCATTCCTGGGGTGCCTGGATCCTGGGGAGCAGTGGGGCCCGGCATCTGGTGGCGGCCCCTGGTGTGCGGAGCTGGAATTGCAGGTGTGGCCCCGCCCATTTCCAGGTGGGCTGTTTTGCTGTGGCTGTGGGGTGGGCACTGTGAGCCCCTCCGCGGAAGCAGGCGAGCCACGCTCCTTGGTCCTGCGGGGATTGCTAAGAGTCGTGTGCGTGTCCTGAGGCAAGGGCCTTATCAGAGGCGCTGCAAGCATTCTGTTCTGTGGGTTTTCTCTTTGCGGGAGGTGTTGTTCGCGGAGGCGTTGGACTTTGGTGAAGCACGGGGTGTCCACTTCTGCTCTCTCGTTCCTCCTTCTGGCATCTTACCTAAGAGACCGCTGCCTGACCGAAGGCCACGAAGATTCACTTCTGCCTTTTCTTCTAAATGTTGTGTAGTTTTACCTCTGGGGTCCGCTTTGGTTCATTTTTACGGATAGCGTCAGGTTGGGGTCCAGGGTCGAAATTTTGCATGTGGATGCACTCGTTCAAGCGCTGTTTGTTGTAAAGACCTTTCTTTTCCCATTGAACGGCTTGGCATCCTTTTCAAACATTAATCCGCCAAAAGTAAGGGCTTATTTATGGACTTGCGATCCTACCCCATTGATCTGTCCGTCTTCCTCGTGCCAGCCCCGCACTGTCCTGATGGCTGTAACTTTGTAGTACGCTTTGAGATCAGGAACCGTGAGTCCTGCGCTTTGTTCTCTTTCAAGATCGCTCGGCTGCTTTGGGTCCCTTGCGTTTTCGGTGAATTGCAGGAGGTTTGGGAAGTGTATCTGAGCTGCTTCCCGGGTCTGTTTTTGGCTAGAAGTGGAGCCTGGCCGCAGGCTCCGCGGACGACAGCTGGGGTCCGCTCTGTGGTCACAGCTGGGGTATCAGTGCTCATTAAGGCCCCACAGACGTCTGCCTGGAGACAGGGATTCATCCAAAGGGTTTATTCAGGAAATACGCCCCGGGGGGTGGATGTCAAAGTCCCGTGGACAGCGGCTTCAGCCTGACCCTCCAGGGACCCTGGCGTGTCGGCCACACTTCGAGGATGCTGGCTTTCATCTCCCAGCCCCCACGGCCATCAGCTACGGGGCAGGAGGGACATGCGTTCTGCGGCCTTCCGACCATGTGTGTGTTGGCCGAGGGCCAAATGGTGCAAGTGTGGGCGTTGGAAGGAGAGCGCCCAGAGCAGGACGGACGCACAGACACAGCACAAGGCTTCCTGCCGACGCACGCGACGCAGCCATGGAAGGGGGTGCTCTGTGCACCCCGTGGTGTGTGCGGCCCACCTCGGTACCACCTGCTCCCACCGTGCCCTGGATAGTTCTGGAACCAGCCTCAGGCTTCCTGCGAAAACCAACATGAGCACGGTTAGCAGGACGGACCACAGCCCTGGCCGCTCCCGCCCTCCATGTCCCTTCATGTACCTCCCCACCCGCACCTGCTCCTCTGGGGGTCTGTGTGTCAGTCGCTCCCCTCCTGGCGTGACGCGGACCCTCGCCCGAGAGCTCAGAGCCCTGGGCGCATCGTTTCTCAGGCGGGAGTGTGTGCACTCGTCCATTTATTATCAGCAGGAGCCCTGTCCCTGATGGTGGAGGCGGTCACCTGGCCAGGGTGGTGGCTCCTCTGGGGAGGCCAAGGTGGCAGGGCAGTGACTGCAGAGGACAGAGTTGCACATGCCGGGTGCTGGCCTCCAGTCTTCAGTGGGCGCTGACCACCAGTGTGAGGAGCTTCGGGCTGGGGGCGCCTGGAGCCCACTCAGGGCCGGGCACAGTTCGCCTGATCCCCCCACCGTGGCCGCGTGTGGACAAGGACATCTGGAGGACGTGCCGCCTCCTGCCCCCCATCTAGTTACCATCACCACCAGCATGGCGCAGGACCGCGAACGTCAGACGAGCGAGGCTCTTTCTGGCTCCATCGTGACAGGGACCGGGAGGGTAAGCCGGCCTTGGGCCAAGGCCACGGAAGTGCCACGGTCCACCTCGGGTGACTGCAGTCCGGTCCTCGTCCTTCCTGTGGGGGGCACAGAGAGGACGCCTCCGTCCACCCGGAGGCCGCGAGCCACACCCCAGAGCTACGCGTAACCGGTGCGGCAAAAGGACCCTGCCTCCCGCTCAGCCGCTGCGCCTGGAGCGGCCGCGGGGTCACGTGTGCTGTGGCCCCCGCCGTCTGCCACAAGCCAGGGGCCGGGCCTGCCAAGGGGCAGGAAGAGAACAGGGAGCGGCGTCCCTGTGCCCTGAATGTTCGAAGGCAAAGGTGCAGACTTGAAGTCGTGGACTGCCGTTCCGCCGCAGACGCGGGCTTGTGATTTATCAGGACCAGGCTGCTTTGTTGGGTCAGGGAGCAGGACCTTCTCTTCCACCACAGAAGCTGCTCCCCACGGCCGCGAGGCTCTGCCGGATGCCACGAGTGCACCTTGTTGGTGCCTTCGGCGGCTGGCGGCGGGGCGACAGCCACGCGGTGGGGCTGGGGTCACCGCCCCGGTGAGGTGGGCGTGGCCAGGTGTCCCAGCAGACCCTGCATCCAACCGACCTCCGAAGGCCGGCATTCCCCCTTCCCCAGGTGTGCTCAGGGGTACGCTCGGGAAATGACTGTGATTTCCCATCAAGGTTGCTGATGACAGCCTTCTGCTCTCGTACCTTTGATCTCACTGCCTATGTGCGAGCGCGTGCGTGCGCATGCGCGTGTCTGAGCACTCGCTGTCCACCTCTCCGACCCCCAGGGGCAGTCTGTGACCCGTCGGACATCACTGGATCCCGGGGCTGGAGGTGACCTGCTTGTCACTGCAAACCCACTGCCGTGACCCTGGTTACTCCCACCTGGTTAGGTCCGGCTAAGTTAGGTCCAGGCTTCTGCCGTTCCCACATGCCATCATCACCATGGTTTCTAGAAAACAGGCAGCGCTGAGCTGCCCCATGGTGCCGTGACCCTCACCAGCTCATTCCTTAGCACCTTGCTGAAAGGAATGTCCTTTGGGGCCTCCAGGAGAACATGGTCATCTGAAGGGTCCTTGGTTCTTGACTCTTTTGAGTCTGTCGACCCATTCTAGCTGCCCACTTCTCTTGAGACTGAGCTCCCCTCAGCACTGGCCCCAGGCTGTTCTGGAATTTTCTAGGCCATCATGTCTTCCAAGTTTCCAGGAGCCTCCCTGCAGCTTATTAGACCCCACTTCAGGGGTCTTGCCAGGGAATGAGCTCCCCGGTCATGAGAGGATGCCTCATGCAACTGCATAGCCCACACCCCGCCCTCCCACAGCCCTCGGGTGCTCACCCAGGCTGTCCTCCCACAGCAGGGAGCGGCTTTCTGACCGTAGCAGGTCCCACACTGGCCGTGCTGCTGGTGACCAGGACTGTTCAGAGGCCAGGAGGGCAGGTGGAAGCAGATCTGGGGGAGCTGCTCTGTGCCACTTGCAGGAGCCTGGAGAGGTGCTGCTCTCCTCCCGTGGCAGGGGGGCCTCTTGCAGGCTGGAAGGTGCGGGCACATCGCGGGGCTAATGTGCCCACCCATGTCCACTCAGAGGCCCTCCCAGGTTCCGGGGTCCAGCTCCCTCCTTCCCACAGCCTTGGCTTTGGTGCAAGGAGGGGAGGGAGTGAAGCCAGGTGTGGTTTCTGGCCAAGTTTCATCCTGCAGACACTGTCTCCGTGTCAGCACCCACCCTGAGGCAGGAGCTTCCAACCTGGGCATCCTTTGGTCGCTGGCTAAGGTCACCCAGGAGATGCAAAGCCCCAGATGCTCTGGCTGCCCGGGCAGTTCCTCCAGCAGCCTGAAAGCAGGTCTCCAAAGAAAGCCTCAGGTGCAGGCCACAGGAGAGGTGGGGAGGGAGGCAAGCTCAGGAACCCCCTGAGGGGATGCGAGGGAGCCTCAGAGCATCCACTATACTCATCGGTATGTTTTTCTGACTAATAGGAGAATGACTACCTTCAGGACTGCCTTGATGCCATCCAGCAAGACTTTGTGATTTTTAACAGAGAAAAGTGAGTGTGTTGGGGGTGGGCAGCGGCGGGCAGGGAGGAGGTTGAGGCTCTCTGGGCCACACAGGTCCTGAGCCCCAGCAGCCACGAGGCATCAGGGGGCTTGGGAAGTGGACTCCCACCCTCCTGGGGCCTTAGGGCAGCAGCCCTAGGGGCAGAGGGTGGGAGGCCCCAGCTCAGGCTTGTGCAGGAGGGCTCCTTGGGAACTTTCAGTTCTATATGGGGGGTCTAACTGCCAGAATCTCCTGGGGAGACCCTCGGTGCTCTGCCCAGACGGGCCGATGACTCGCGGTCCTGCAGAGTCGCATGAACTGCTACCCCTCATGCATTCCATAAACCCTTACCGAGTGCCAGGGACTGTGGGGCAGGAAGACATGACAAGCCACAGATCGCTAACACCTGCTGCAGGGGAGGGAGGAAGCCCAGCACAGTGGGCCCAGGAGAGGAGTGGCAAGGTGAGGCACGGAGGGCTTCCTGGAGGAGGCAGCTCTGAGCTCTGTCCTGCCTCAGTGACCAGGACAATGTGTGGGCACTGGTTTAGGGCACTGGCTTCCATCCTGGAGGTCAGAGGCCTGAGTGAGAACTGACTCGGTCAAGCTCTCTGCAAAGCTTTGTTCCAAAATTGCTGATGCACAGGAATGCACTTAAACTAGGTGTCCTCAGCTTCTGGCTCACCAGCCCCACTGCTCGAGCCTGGGGCCTCAGTGGTCACACAGGGCGCTGCTGGGCTGGACATCGCTCTCAGCTCCCCGTGGCGCCTGCAGGGACATGAGGTCCAGCAGTGTTCCCGGGGGACCCATCCCGTGAGTCCTCGGACAAGTTGGGTGCCGGCCAGAAGCGTCCGGGGGCTGCTGATGAGGCTGCAGAGAGCCCCTCCTTGTGTTTCCCCACCAGGCTGAAGAAGAGCCAGGACTCCACGAGCGAGCCCCTACCCGCCCCCGAGGCCGGGGATGCTGCGGAGGACCGGGAGGGGGCGCGCCCCGCGGGGCCCATGTGCGGCTCCATCTGCCCCTCCCGCCTCACTGAGAGTTAACGCCAGTTGCTTTGGAGACTCGGTCGGCCAGCAGGACAGGACAGGCGGCGGGCAGAGGCCCCACGTGGACGTTCCCAGCCAAGCAGCCCAGTTCCTCCCAGCACAGACCCGGCCGGTGGCCCCACTGCACCCTGGCCCTGATTTCCCTGGGACGGGCTGCCTGCCCACTGGCTCTCGTCAGCATAGGGCAACCGGAGGCTGTCAGTGTGGCCGAGGGGTGGGCAAGCAGGCTGGGTGCCCCCCTCCCCAGCGGCTCCGTTCCCGGCAATTGTGGCAGGAGGCCCATGGCCTCTCCTGGTGGCCCCCTGACCCACTCCCGGCAGTCACAGAGGTCCCAGCACCCCCAGCTGTACATATGGGCGCCGGCCCTGCTGTGGGCAGACGGACACCGTTCACGGGCTCCCTGGGAGCCACTCAGGCTTGTGCGTCCGGGGGAGGGGGAGATGAAGAGTGTTTTTATAGAGATACTTCTGCCGTGTTTCTGTAGATTTCTCACCTCTGAGCATCACGACGTAAGAGCTGCTCGGTGTCTGTGTTGTGTGTGTCGCGTGCCCGCAGCTGCGGGGTGCACAGGCCTGTCCGCGGGCCGGGCGGCTCCCACAGTCCCACGGCTGCGGTGGGGGCGCCCTGGGGGGGCGGGGCGGAGGCCGGGCCTGCCGCAGAACCAGAAGCAGCACCGCAGGTCCTGTGAGGAGCTGGCTGGCCCGGGCGGAGGAGGCAGGCTCGCTGCCCCACTTGCTGAGGGCCGGGCAGTGAGAAATGCAACCCCAGGTGCTCATGTGGGGACTCAGGGCTCCGGTCACCAGCGGGAAACCAGGGTCCAGGGAGGGCGGCTGCAGGATGCCCTGTGGGGGTGGTACCAACCCCCAGAGGAGGTTCTAGATGGAGACAGATCTGGTGATGTTGGAGATTGGAACAGGGAAAGAGGTTTACGGTTTTGCAAAAATATGTAAATCTTGGGCGCCCAGGTGGCTCAGCTGGTTAAGCGTCCGACTCTTGAGGTCAGCTCAAGTCTTGAGTTCAAGCCTGTTTCCTGCGTTGGCAGCAAGGATGTGGGTGTGGCCTGGCTCCGTGATCATGTCTCACCAGGACCCGGACACGGGCCCCAGCAGAGCCCCAGAAACCTGGCTGTGAGGTCACACTGACCCAACAGATCTGGGCTAGCAGGTACACGGGGACCACCAGGTTGGACCTTCAGGGGCTGCCCTGGACCATGGCAGCTTCACCAGAAGCCCGGATTCAAGGGTGGAGCTGTCCGTGTCCCCCCAGAGGACACAGCTGGTCACTACTGGGAATGGACGTCAGCACAGGTACCGGAGTGCCTGGCAGTGCGAGGTGTGGGGGACCTTGCCTGACCCGTCCAGCACTTCTTCCCAGTGACCATGCACACCCTGCTCCCAGGGCGAAGACACCCTCTGGGAACATCCCACACCTGGGAGCAGAACTGGGGCCATTTCTACGAAGCAGGAGAGGCCAGCCCAGCCCAGCAGCTCCTTCTCCTGGGTCAGAACCCTGGGGGGTGCAGGCACAGGCCTCAGGCCAGGGCCACACCCTCCTGGCCCATCTGGTCGGAATGTGGGTGCAGGTCCTCCAGCCCAACCCTCTCTCTCGGAGCGCCTGGCCGTGGGTCACGCCAGCATCCCTCTGTCTGGCTGCGTCTGGCCAGCAGGCCTGGATTCAGGCACGGTTCCCAGGCCCCCTTCCTTGAGATGAAGCACCAGCCCTGCCCCTTCCCTGCCCAGAGGTGGAGCAGAGCTGTCCCCGGGGGTGGTCAGCCGTGCAGCCAGCAGGAATGTCCCTGAGGGCCCCACGCATAAGCCGCTGGTGGGAAAATGAAGTCAGGGCCACACACCAGCAGCTTCTCATCTGGACGCCTTTAATTGACGCGATTCCCGGGGGCCTGGGGCGCAGGCCGCCGTCGGGGCTGCGGGGGGCATGCAGCTTGCCGGCTACAGTTGTCCCCAACGCACAAAACCACTGCTCTAACCAACTACTGCAATGCACACTTAGTAGTAAAAGGACAGCATCTCAGCTAAAGGATCCTAAGACTCCCCTGGAGACAGGCAACTACGCGGGCCAAGTTTGGTCCTTGGCAACGTGTACAAACAAGGCCGCCCTTCGCTAAGTTCCCGATGGGTCCCTGAAGCCTCGTGGGTGCTCCCCCCACGCCAAGCGGACAGGGAGAGGAGCCGGCGGGAGGCCCGGGGTTTTGCAGGGCAGTGATCCACAACAGGGAGAAGGGAGCAAGCACCCTGAACCTGCAGCCTGGTCCGCTATCTGTGCATCTGTGAGGGCCCGGGGGTTGTGGTGGGCCTGGCCGGGGTGGCAGCCCTGCCTTCGTGCAGCATCTGGCCGTCCTTCAGGGCCACCACCTCCAGCCTCCTCAACCTGGCAGTGAAACCCTCCTCTCCTTGCACGGGCTCCTCCTACAAGACCTGGGACCCCAAAAGGGGAGTTTCGGGGGGAAGGTGAGGCCAAGCACCTTTCAGGTAAATTCAACAAAGGGAGAGCTAAGTGAGGTGAGCGGCCCCCACCAGCTGCTGCCCTGTGGGACGGCCCCAAGGGGACGCCTAGGACAGCGAGGTGATGTTGGAACGTCCGCCGGGGGGGGCCATGATCTTCTGAGCCGTTCGTCGGGCAATGTGGTCGTCAGCCTGAGACCCTGCAGAAAAGGCGGGTGTGAGGGCAGGGGCGCGGCCGCACTGGCTGCAGCTGTGACCACGGCGGTGGCTGCCGCGTCCCCATGCACCCACACCGCGGACAGCCTGGTGCAGGGAGGAGGCGACCCGCCGATGCTCCCACTTTGAGGCAGGGGTGCCCAGGAAGTGCGGCCGGGGGCCAGGCCTGCTCATCCTGCCCGTGGGTCTCAGCCCCGTGGCCGGAGAAGGCTGCCCTGGCTTTTAAGACGTCCCTGGCTTTCCAGGGGGAACTGGCCAGGCCCTGTGTGTCCAGGGAGCGAGCAGGGACTGTCACCCAAGAGGGCGGTCAGGCCAGGACATCGGGGGCAGGAAGAGGGAGGGTCTGGCTCTGGTTTGCAGGGAGGACCTGGGGCCCAGGGCCGCTGCAGGAACCTGCAGGAACACAGCGTGCCAGGACCCCGACCACAGGCCCAAGCAGCGGCCGGCACACCGGGCCACCTGAGCCCTCCAAAGCATCCCCATAGGTCCCCATGGGCTCATCGACCCCTTCCTTATGTGCCTCACATGCAACTCTGAGACTGGAGGGGCTGGACCCCGCGTGGCACTCGGGTTCCCACAGAGGCATCCCACGCTCACCCCTAGGCTCAGAGTGACAGCCCTCTCCTCAGCATGGCTGGTGCAAGGTGGGGGTCACTGCGGCCACTCGGGTGGACGCCGGGGCAGGACAGGATTTCCCCACGGGTCCACACCCCGGGCCTGGGTCCCGGGAGGGCAGGCGGAAGCATGTTCTGCCCCCAGTCCCCACCCTGCCCAGTCTGCGGGTGGCTGTGGATGGAGTCCGCAGCCTTGCTGTGCTCGCCCCCCGACAGGCTGAGCCCTGGTACCTGTGACCCCAGGGGCCCTCCTGCCCCTGCGGATGCCCCCGCAAAGCGCCCCCCGCCCCGCTCCACTCACCAGACAGGCTGAACCCCGACCGATGCAGGTTGCGCACGGGTGGGACCGAGATCTTCCCTGGGCAGGACGCACGGGCCTGGGCACTGCCCCCCGGCTTGGCAGGCACCATCACCTCATGGACGGGCCCATCGTAGAGGCCTCGGGGCACGCCGTGGATCTCCGCCAGCTGCAGGGCCGAGGGGCCTGGGCGTGAGGGGGGCTGAGCGTGCTCCGCCCCACGGGCCCCCCTCGGTCGGGCTCCAGAGCCCAGGGCTCCCCGCGTCCACCTGCACACTTGCACGCACACGTCCCCGTGCCCACACACGTGCACACAGCTCCTCCTGCCCCCGAGGCTGGGCGGCAGTGCCCTGGCTGGAGGACACCACTCAGACGGGCAGCCCTGAGCAGGTGGCCTCTTCTGGGAACGGAAACCCAGCCGCGACAGCCCCTGCCTCCTCAGGACCCACGGTTCTGTGGCCCCAGAAGAGCCCCCACTCCAGCCCGGAGGCGGCCCTGGGTCTCCCTGAAAGTGGCCCCAAGGCCAGAGACCTTTCCCTGCAGCCCCCACGACAGACGAACGGGCCGCGAACCGAAGCAAAGCCGCCCCGTGTGCTCGTGTTTCCCGTGGGCGCCTCCCTTGGGATTCGTGTCTCGACTCAGGACGGTGGCCAGCCCCGGGGCGGTCACCACGGGGTGGCGGCGCACCACCGAGCGGCAAGTGTGGGGCTTCGAGTCCCAAGGGTTTGGGTCTGCGTCCACACTCCCCCGATCACCCTGGGCGAGGGCCCGGGAGCCCTCCACCCCTCCGTGCGCCGGTGGTACGTGGTGCCCCGGGCCCCCCACCCCACCGAGCGGGAGGGCTGGGGATGCCGGGCCTTCCGGCCGGGACGCCGCACCTGGGCCGGCCGGGACGCCGCACCTGGGCCGGCGGGGCCGCCTTCTCAACGTCCCTCCCGGGGAGCAGCTGCGCGGCCCTCAGCACCTGAGACCCCCGTGTGTCTGCGCGTTAGACCCCTGACCCGGCCCGCCCTGCTCCGGATTCAGACGCCATCCTTCTACGAAACTGCGTAAAGCAGCCCTGTGCGTACCGTGCGTGCGTATGTGCGCGTGCGCAAGCCACCAATACGTGCTGTGCGTGCGCATGCGTGAGCCACCAACGTGCGCTGTGCGTGCACCACCCACGCGTGCTGTGCGTGCGCCAGCAGTGCGTGCAGTGCGTGCGCGAGCCACCAATACGTGCTGTGCGTGCGCGTGCGCGAGCCACCCACGCGTGCTGTGCGTGTGCGCATGCGTGCGTCCCCAACGCGCGCTGTGCGTGCGCCAGCAGTGCGTGCTGTGCGAGCGCGTGCGTGAGCCACCCACGCGTGCTGTGCGTGTGCGTGTGTGCATGCGTGCGTCCCCAACGCGTGCTGTGCGTGCGCCATCCACGCGCTGTGCGTGCGCCAGCAGTGCGTGCTGTGTGTGCGCGTGCGTGAGCCACCAACGTGTGCTGTGCGTGCGCGTGCGTGAGCCACGGACACGTGCCGGGGGGGGGGGGTCTAGGCAGACGCACGCCTGGGGCACCCGACGACGCAGTGCGTAGCCCAGCAGAGGGAAGAGGACTCACAGCTTCCAAGCTCGCGAAAGCTGTTGGGGAAACTGCGTGTCCCTGCGTGAGTGTTCACGGGGACGCGCACGGGGACGCGCACGGGGACGCGCACGGGGAGCCGGGCTGCCTCCGCCGCAGCCTATCGGCGCCCACTGATGTTTGTAACACAGCGGCTACTAAGCGCCCGCCCGCCCCGCCGGGGCCTTACCCGGTTGCGCGCCTTTATCCGCTTATAGACGAAGTCGGGGAACGTCTTCCGGGGGATGAAGCGGCCAGCCCCGGGGGTGGCGCACAGGTTCCCGTCCTCCAGCACAACCCTGCCCTGACTTACGACCACCGTGGGGGCGCCTCGGCACTCGACGCCTTCGAAAATGTTGTACTCCACGTTCTGGGGAGACAGGGGGGAGCGTCCGGCACCCAGCGCTGCGGCCCCGGTTCCCCTCAGCGCACTGCGGGCCGACCGCATCCTCGGAGGCCGTGCGCCCGCTTGAGGACCCCCGACAAGAACCGTCACCTCGGCAGGGCCGGGGTTGAGGAGGAACTGGGCAGGTGGGGCAGGGGCGGGTGCTCATCCTGAGGGCTGCCCGGCCCGGCCCTGGCCCGGAACCTGACCTGGACCCGGGCGGGACCCGGACCTGCCCCCAGACCCTGACCTGGACCCGGGCGGGACCCGGACCTGCACCCAGACCCTGACCTGGACCCGGGCCCGGACCCGGACCCGGACCTGCACCCAGACCCTGACCCGGACCCGGGCCCGGACCCGGACCCGGACCTGCACCCAGACCCTGACCCGGACCTGCACCCAGACCCTGACCCGGACCCGGGCCCGGACCCGGACCTGCACCCAGACCCTGACCCGGACCCGGACCTGCACCCAGACCCTGACCCGGACCCGGGCCCGGACCCGGACCTGCACCCAGACCCTGACCCGGGCCCGGGCCCGGACCCGGACCTGCACCCAGACCCTGACCCGGGCCCGGGCCCGGACCCGGACCTGCCCCCAGACCCTGACCCGGGCCCGGGCCCGGACCCGGACCTGCCCCCAGACCCTGACCCGGGCCCGGGCCCGGACCCGGACCTGCCCCCAGACCCGGACCCGGGCCCGGGCCCGGACCCGGACCTGCCCCCAGACCCGGACCCGGGCCCGGGCCCGGACCCGGACCTGCCCCCAGACCCGGACCCGGGCCCGGGCCCGGACCCGGACCTGCCCCCAGACCCGGACCCGGGCCCGGGCCCGGACCCGGACCTGCCCCCAGACCCGGACCCGGGCCCGGGCCCGGACCCGGACCTGCCCCCAGACCCGGACCCGGGCCCGGGCCCGGACCCGGACCTGCCCCCAGACCCGGACCCGGACCCGGACCCGGACCTGGACCCGGGCCGAGACCCTGACCTAGTCCCTGACCGGGACCCAGACCTGGACCTGGACCCGGACCCGGACCTGGTCCCTGACACTGACCTGGATCCTGACCTGGACCCGGACCCAGACCCTGACGCTGACCCGGACCCGGACCCGGACCCTGACCCTGACCTGGACCTGCACCCTGACCTGGACCCGGGCCGAGACCCTGACCTAGTCCCTGACCCAGACCCTGACCTGGACCCGGGTCCGGACCCGGACCTGCACCCAGAACCTGACCTGGACCCGGGCCCGGGCCCTGACCCGGGCCTGGACCCGGACCTGCACCCAGACCCTGACCTGGACCCGGACCCGGGCCCGGACCCGGACCTGCACCCAGACCCTGACCTGGACCCGGGCCCGGACCCGCCCCCAGACCCTGACCTGGACCTGGACCCGGACCTGGACCCGGGCCGAGACCCTGACCTAGTCCCTGACCGGGACCCAGACCTGGACCTGGACCCGGACCCGGACCTGGTCCCTGACACTGACCTGGATCCTGACCTGGACCCGGACCCAGACCCTGACGCTGACCCGGACCCGGACCCGGACCCTGACCCTGACCTGGACCCGCACCCTGACCTGGACCTGGGCCGAGACCCTGACCTAGTCCCTGACCCAGACCCTGACCTGGACCCGGGCCCGGACCCGGACCTGCACCCAGAACCTGACTTGGACCCGGGCCCGGGCCCTGACCCGGGCCTGGACCCGGACCTGCACCCAGACCCTGACCTGGACCCGGACCCGGGCCTGGACCCGGACCTGCACCCAGACCCTGACCTGGACCCGGGCCCGGACCCGGACCTGCACCCAGAACCTGACCTGGACCCGGACCCGGACCCTGACCCGGACCTGCACCCAGACCCTGACCTGGACCCGGGCCCCGACCTGGGCCCTGACCCTGACCCGGACCTGCACCTGGACCCTGACACTGACCCGGACCCTGACCTAGGGACCAGGCTTCTCTTACCAGGTTGTGGCTCTTGGCAGAAATGATTTTTGTGGCCCTGGGGTTCCAAATAACCAGGTCAGCATCGGAGCCCACAGCCACTCGCCCCTTCCTTGGATACACGTTGAAGATTTTGGCTGCGTTTGTACTGGTCACAGCCACATACTCGTTCTCATCCATCTTCCCTGAGGCCTGGGAAGCAAGACAGCCAAGTTGGGGTGGGGGGTGGGGGTCCTAGGCTCCAGGCTTGTGTGTGGACGGGGGCACCCGTCCCCCAGGCAGCGAGCGGCGTCAGGATCGTGCGCCCAGGGTGCCGCCACCTGCGAACTCCCAGGTCCCTCTCAGGCTGCGCACGAACACGGTGCTCGCTGCATGTCAGTCAATGTGAGGTTCTGACGATGTCTGTGTCCCCTGAAGGACAGGACAGCCCCTCCCCACCAGGTGGCCAGGTGGCCTAGGGAAGCAGGGCGGTGAGAGAGGCCTGGGGTCAGGGCTGGAGTTTGGGGGTACAGGCAGTCTGAGGAAATCTCAACCATTCTGGGGAGACTAGCAGCGCAGAGTGTAATTCCACAGGAGACAGGAACCCCACTCTCCCAGATGCTTTCTGCAGGTGACATGAATCTGGGGGAGGGCCTGGCTGCCTCACAGTGCCGGGGGTCTCCTCCAGGGGGACCAGAACCGCTTGTCCGGGAGTCCTGGATGGCAGGCCTGGGGGCGGCAACACCCCAGGGAGCCCACACTCCCTGCACAGGGAGTGCTTAGTGGTCAGTGGCCTCCCTTTCCGACAACCTGCGTGGAGCATGGCCTGCGGCCCCCACTCTACTCACCACACATTTCTCCCAGACCACAGACATGCGCTCCTCGATGCCGTTTGTGCCCTCGGGGATGAGTGTGAAGTTGTCTTTGCCGACGGCCTTCTGGGCAGTGGTGAAGGTACAGTGGGCGCTGCCGGTCACCTGGAGGTCCCCACTGAGAAAAGTCGGGGTCGGGGGAGTCCACGGTGGCCTGATTTGCCAGCAAAGGCCGCCGTCGGCTCTGTCCCCCTCCCCGGCCAGCACAGCCCACAGGTGCTGGAGGGTGTCCGGGAGAGCTGGGCAGAGCTGCCACCCCTGGGTAGGGCACAGGAGGGCCGGGGCAGATGAGTGTGGGGCCTCGGCCTGGGACGTCCTGGGCCAGTGTTTGTGCAGAAGTCGGAGCTGCTGGCAGATTGAGGCGACAGGGGGCGGGGGGGTGTGGAGCTCACGGGCCACAGCGGGGGCACCCTGGAGCGGGTCCCTACCTGGACAACAGGGAGGTGAGGTGGTCTGCAGTGCTGGGGTCCGGGTTGATGGGGGGCGATGTGACGAAGGCCGCGGCCTTTGCCCAGTTCTTGCTCCAATAGTGTGAGCCATCGGTCCCCAGACTGGCAGTGATGGGTTCCCCGAACACGACCACCCCTGCAGTGAGACCCGTGAGAGGGGCCCCAGCCGGCCTGCATGCCCCCCAGGACCCAGGCAGAGTGGGGAGCCTGGCGCTGTGCTGGTGATAACCCCCAACTGTCCCTCAATTTCCCAACGCTGGACAGCTTCCCACGCGGGGGGCCCCTCCGGACCCGCTCCCCCACACCGCCTGCCGGGGAAGCAGCCGGGCGACGGCTGCGGGGAGACACGGTCCGCTCTGCCCGCCCCTGCCTGTCCGAGGCCTGTCCCCGTGGACCCCAGTTCTTCTCTGTACCCCCTGCCTCCTCCAGCTGCGGGGTGCTCTACGGGCAGACCCTGACCCAGCGAACAGTGACGTGGGGCTCCCAGGGGGGCCAAGTTCCATCACACATGGAATCGGGCTCTGCGTCCCCCACGCACACGCCACACTCACACAGACACAGCACACGTGTGCGTGCAGGAGACACGTGCACATGTGCCCAGTTCTGTCACTTCCGGGCAAACAGGGCCCACAGGTGAGCAGCTGCGACCCGGACGAGACAGGAGACTGGGCCCCGCCTGTAGAGGGCCTGCCTCCCCCACGGGCCACAGACCCGGGACCCCCCACCAGGCCAGGCAGGGCAGCCCCTGCTTCTCGGGCCTGTCTGCTCCGAGCCCCAGGGTAGCCAGCCGAGCGCCCGGTCCTGAGACGTGACCCCTGACCCCCAGGAGCTCCCCCCACAAGCGTGCGGGGCCAGGGCCTGGCACTCACCCCTGCGCTTGGCTTGGGCGACCACGTCGGCCGCACCCTTGCTCATCACTTTGGTGACGTACAGGGGGCAGTTGGCCTGCTTGGCTACGGTGACAGCGCGGTACACAGCCTCGGCCTCCACCTGGGGACGGGGGTCGCTCAGGCGGGCCAGGGCCCTGGGCCTCCTCCTGACCATCACCCCTGGATCCTGGGCCCAGAGGGGGCACCGTGCATGACTGAGGACCCCGCCTGTGGCTCAGTGCCCAGGATCTGGGTTGACCCAAGCAGTACCCAGAGCCCGTCCTCACCGCCTTCTTGGTCTTCGGTAGAGGCCTTGGGCCACCAGTGGTCATGGGGGGACATGAGCCCAGTGGGGGGGAGGGCCCGTTGATTCACCCCTCCCAGAGGGGGACAAGCGCATCACAGCCCTGCCCCACCATGGGGTCAGGGTCTGCCCCTGTGCAGAGGCAGTCTGGGGTGCAGTCAGGGTTGGGGTGGCTCTCAGCAGGCAAACTCCTACCTCCTCGGGGCGGCTGAGCACGTGGCCCTCAGGGCCGGTAATGCCGAGCTCCAGCAACCGCTTCTGCTCCTAAATAAACCAACAGGACAACACACTCCAGCCCAGGTGCAGCCAGAGCCCTGCAGAGCCCCAGTCTGGGTGTGATGCCCAAGAGGCCCTGCCCCTGAGATAAGCCCTGCCCCCGACATCTCACATGAGCCTCGCCCCCAAGATGAGCCCTACCCCCCATCTCTCACGTGAGCTCTGCTCCTGAGATGAGCCCTGCCCTCCACATCTCATGTGAGCCCTGATCCCCAATCTCTCATGTTAGCCCTGACCCGGAGATTAGCCCTGCCCCCTGACTCTCACGTGAGCCCTGCACCCCTAAACTGAGCTCTGGGCCACCAGGTCCCCCAGAATCACCAACTGCAGAGAACTCAGAATGGAGGAAGAGGGTGGGTGACCCCAGATCCCTAAATTACAGATGAGGTACAGGGCTTGGTGAGGGCACCCTGCCGGCCATACTGGGTTCCACCAGTGAGGACACGCCCAGGGGTGTGCTGGGGGCTCTGCAGTTGGGGTGGACAGACTGCATCTTCCCCCAGCTTGCCCTTGAAGATCTGTACCTCAGTGGCCTCTTGCATAAATGAAGATGTGGATGCCAAGCTTCACTGTGAAGAATGCGGGAGAAGCAGAATGCCATGGACCCAATAACCAGACTCCCCAGCATTGGTGGGGTGTCTCCCAGGCACGCTCTGCCCACCCACCTGTGTACTGAGCTGGACCCACCACATTCTCCTAACCATGCCGCCGGGCCTGGCCTTGGACCAGAGAGGCACGTGAAGCACTCGATGCCCTCATGGCGGGGCGGGTGGACAAGTTACCTGGGAACCCCACGTGGCCCTCCCCAGGTGTCACCACCTTCGAGCTTGGGATGGGGCTGAGCCTGACCCGCCAGGAAGCTTCTCTGTGGGTCTGGAATGCCAGGGAGGTGTGCTGCTATGTGTGGCCCTGTGAGGAGCCCCCAAACCTCCCAGGTACCCCGCAGCACCTGCACCTGGGGGTGCCTACCCCACAGCCCAGGGCCCAAGAGGCAGGCACGGGACCAGCACATGTGCTCAGTGGTCGGAAGGAACACAGGTCCAGCTTGGGAGGCCTCCATCCACAGGGGCAGAAGGCACTGGGAAACCCCATATCAGCCCCCCAAAAGCAACATTTTGGTTCTGGGGAACTTCTGATAAGCGTGATGATCATGAAAAATCTGCTACGGCCAAAAGCCCCCCCAGGCTCCTGCTGGCTTGCCTTCTGATTCTGGGCAACCTACTCACCAGAATATATTCACTATTCCCCACCCCGGGCTCTGTGGGATGAAGAGCTCACTTCTGCGTGTCTAGGAGCCACCCCTGCCCCTCACCGACCCCCGCCCACCCTGCAGGCAGCCCGCCCGGAACCTGACCTGGACCCGGGCCCGGACCCGGACCTGCACCCAGACCCTGACCTGGACCCGGACCCGGACCCTGACCCGGGCCCAGACCCGGACCTGCACCCAGACCCTGACCTGGACCCGGACCCAGACCCTGACCTCCTCCACGATGTCCCCGTTCTCTGCGTGCACTTGCGCCAGGGCACCCAGGTCCCGGATGATGCTGAAGATCTCATACATCTGGGAAGAGGGCACACGAGGTGTGTGGGGCTGCGTCCATCCTGCTGGCAGCCTGAAACACCTGCTGTGCCCTCCTCTCAACACCTGCCCTCACCTGGCTGTCTGTGCATTGGCACCTGTCCTTGTACGCTGTGAAGACCAGGAAGGAGTTCACACCTGGAGGAGAGGCAAGAGGGGTCAGACGCTCGGCTGTTGTCGGTCGGATGCCCAGGAGCCTCCACTGCTCCCGGATCTCCTCCCACGGGCGCCTGGTCCGAACTAACACATCAGCTCCGCCTTGAGACTCTAATGCGGTTTCAGCTTTAGGACTTTTGATTAAAAGAGCTTAAGCCTTGTTTCCCGACTGGTTGTTGCAACACAGGCAGCATAGAGAACTGTGGGTTTGAAAGCATTCTGCTCCTAAAAAGACCTTCAAGGTCTAGGAAGATGTGCAGCCCTCGTCCTTCACCCGGGGCAGGAGACAAGGGGACTGGGACAGCTAAGGGCAACTAGAGGACACATCCCTCAGATGCAGAGGTGGATGACCTCCTCGTCTGGATCCTCTGGAAGTAGAACAGACCTTCAGTATGTCCAACTTCTCCCCAACTCCCAAACACCTCCCCCACCCCGGGGCAGACGGATGCAGAGTCCAGCCTGGCCAGGGGCCCCAGGGAAGCGCCCCTTCCCAGCCAAGGCTAGGGAAGCCCAGGCCCCCAGGCCAGCCTCGGGAGATGCCCTTACCTTTGTCCTTGACCAGGGCCTCCAGCTCCTCCCGGATGCTCTCGTGCCAACGGGGGATGTCCACGTGCAGGGAGTAGTCACAGCAGGCCCCACTGTCCGCGCGCTCCCGCCACTGCTCATAGGCCACCAGGAGGCTCACGCCCATGTCGGGGAACACATGGTCCACTGTGGGGGGCACTGCGGTCAGCTGAGCCCCCACTCCGGTTACTGGGAACCACCCTGGCCTCCAGGGGAGACGGGTTTCACGTTCCCGAGAGATCAGAAAGTGCACCTGGGGAGCAGTGGAGAGGCCGCAGGCCCCTTACGCGGGGCTGCTGCCACCATGAACATGCCCATCGGCCCCACATCCCCCAGCCTTTCTCTGAGCAGAGGAAGAGGGGCCGGATTCGAGCCCCCCTAGTCCCTGATGGACACATTCACCCCAAGGAGCACCGGTGGCAGTTAGGGTGTCTTAACCTCCCACACAGGTGTCTACCGGAGGGAGGCGCACCTGGAGGGCCCGAGGAGGGCAGGGTGGGGCGGGGCAGGTGCGGGCGCCGTCCATGGTGCTGAAGCTGGGCAGCCTGCCCGGAGCGGTGGCATGGGGCTGGTTTCCAGGGCTGGTCTCCCTCGCTTGTGCCTCACGGACTACACGCACCTCCAACAGCGCCCCCCCACACCTGGGGAGACCAGGGGTGCATGGCTGCTGCGCTGTCACTCCCCCCACCCAGCCTCAGGTCCAAGGTCCAAACACTGCTCACGGCCTCTCCTGGGCACAGGGAAAGAGCTCAGAGGAGGGGTGGCCAACAAGAAGGCACACCCACCCAAGGGTTACTGGCCCACGCTGTGCCTTCCTCCAGTGCACCCCTCATGGAGGCCCCCCTGCTTCCCACCGCTCAGATCTCATGCCCAGGGCCCCGTGGGAGTGTATGCCACCCCACCCCGCGGTCCCTCGGCAGCTCCAGCCTGGGCCTGGCAGGCTGAGGAAGACACACGGCTCGGCAGAGGCCAGCCTTGCACCTGCAGCATCTGTCCATCCTCACGGGGACACCCCACGGCTTGTCTGATGCCTCGGCATGGGCACGAGCAGGTGACAACCACGAAGGTGTCCTGGCCAGCCTTGGCCACCAGTGACGAACATGAGCTGTAGCCAAAAATGGCCAGTCTCCTTAGTCAAACTAAAAAATGGATCATTGTTGGCTTTTTTTTTTGCCTGGTGGTTGAGTAATGGCTAAATACCACTTGCGAAGTAGCCCAGGGTCTGGAGGCAGCAGTGACAGAAGGCACCGTGCACCATGCACAGCAGAGCACCTCGTGAGCGCAGCCCACCCTCACAGCCTTCTAGGGAGGGTCTTCCTCCTCCTTCTGCTCAGGTTAGCAGAGTGTGACTTCTAAAAGTTAGCTGAGTTACCTGCAGCCAAAGAGCCCGAACACGGTGCAGCCAGCGTTCAACTAGGCGTGAGAGGCCAGGGGTTAACCACAGCAGAGACGCCTGCACTCACACCGCGGAGCTGACGGCATTCAAGGCCACCAGAGCAGGGGCTGGGTCCCGTCCTGGCTCTGCGCTTACCACCGTCAAGTCCACCACAGGCAAGCCCATGCACCTTGCAAGCTGCTAGGTGGGGCTTGCCTGCCGAGCTCCCACGGCATATGAGCTGCCGCCCAGCACAGGGCCAGCACTAAACAGAGGGCGAGCATCTCTGCCATTCTTTTCCTAAAAACACAGCCTCCTTCTTGACACAGGCAGGGACTTCGTGCAAACCAAGCTTCAGAGGTGCGGGGCTCAGGAGCAAATGTATCTGTTTTAGACAACACGACCCCCTCCGCGTGCACAAGGCATTTTGGTTTTGAAAACCTAGTCCCTGGCCAGCTGCCAGCTTCCCAGGAAATAATAAATTCCTGGGCACACATCCATTTGCTCCCGTGGAAACCCCAGGAGCATTCCAGAGCTGGCCAAGGCAAGATGACTCACAATGCGAACGGGGAAAACAAAAGAGTATGCAAGGATTTCCTAGATTGAAAGGTAATAAAGGGAAACAGACCCCTAAAAATGTCCCATTTTAAGGCTCTTCCCACAACACACAAGCTTGGCTAGTAGAACAAGGCGTGGGATGGGTGCCCCGCACACCAGGAGACACTCACGGATCATGGTGGTCCCTCCCGCTAGGGCGGCCTTGGTCCCCTGGCAGAAGTCGTCTGCAGGGGTCATGCCCAGGACAGGCATCTGCAGCCTCGTGTGGACGTCAACGCCGCCTGGCAGGACCAGCAGGCCATGCGCATCGATGGTTTTGATGCCTCCAGGGACAATGAGGTTTTCTCCAATTTGTCTGAAAGCAACACAGATTTCACTGGTTATCAAGAGCCTGGATCAGAACACAAACGGTGAGGCAGGGAAGCATCTGCTTGGGCCCCTGGAGGAAAAGGGCAGCACAGTCAAGACTTCGCTGACCAGGCCCCTGGAGACCATGAGAGAGCACGACATCCCACCAGGGGTTCGAGACGGTCACACGGAGGATCGGACCTGGGCCTGTGTGACTGCCCTTGTGACGTCCGTTGGCCTTCCACGTGCTGTTCTACTGACTGGTGGCTGGAGCGCATGCAGACAACGAGCAGAGAAGCTAACAGGTGCGGTAAGTATTTATTGAGCACCTGCTGTGAGCCCCAAATCGTCCTAAAGCTATGATAACACAAATGAATGTCCTGCTTCCCGAGACCTTGCCACTAACTGGCGAGATCTCTCGTGACTCAAGGCCTGGGCTTGAGCTGGGTTTTGGAAAAGGAAAAAAAAAAAAAAAAGAAATTTAGGTGGAATTCACCCAAAAGTAAACTTGTGGATAATCTGTGATCAATGTGTACACATGTGCTCTGTGAAGATATCTGAGGCAGAAACTCACTTTATCAAACCATCTTCCACATACAGATCAGCATAGAAGGACTGGTCATCATTGACGATCTTCCCACCTTTGATCAAAAGGCGGTCGCTCTATCGGAAACAAACAGAAGATGGGTAAGTTTTCTCCAAACCTAGTTCCTCAGCATCGTCCCTATAACTTCTTACCCTGGGATTATGCTCGAACCCCTCGGGCACGATGCGTACGCACAGAGGTGGACACAGAAGCCTGCGCTGTCCTCCACCCCCCAAGGATGGAGCGGAGGTGACCAGCGGCAGGGCGGCTCGGCGGTGGCTCCCACAGGCCCCGAGCAGGTCCCACACCCACAGGGCAGGCAGGGCCCGCAGTGTGGCCTCGCCAAAGGCACAGCGCCCCATGGGGGCCAATGTGGGTGAAGGCGTAGCAATGAAATGCATTACATTTAAATAGTTATCGCCTAATTCATAGAGCTCAGGCTGAGGTCAGAGGGGGACAAAGTCACAGGATCCCACCCTGGCCTGGAGGGTCGGCCCCCCTCGTCAGCCCACACAGAGGCAGCTCCTGGATGGCAGCTGGGCTCCGGTTCATACCAGAATGGTGTGGCCTATCGTGGTGCCAAATGTGGGGGTTAGAGCAGTGCCCCAGCAGGCAGGATCCCTACCCCGGGGGGGGGAATGCCTCCCAGCACAGGGAGACAGACAAGGATGAGAAATTACACAAGGCCATCGCAGACTGTGACAGACCAAGAACACAAAGAGGCTGATGTCACAGCGTGATGGGAGAGGAGGCTGGGCTGCTTCAGGGACAGAGAAGGGCCTACTGGAGTGTCCAGCTGGACATGAAGTGGCCAAGGACGGTGTTGCAGGCCAGGGGACAGCCCCTGCAAAGGCCCTGAGGCAGGAACAAGCTTGAGTTGATACCGGACACAAGAGGAAATGGGCCAGAACCTTCTGAGGGGAGGGGTGAGGGGACCAAGAGCCTGATGCAGGTGGGACATGCTGGGCTTGGGGTGTCAGTGGGCCCCACTGGGGGGGCCTGAAGGGGGGGTTTGAGCACGGTCTGGTGGATCACATTGGCTCTGTGTAAAAAGTAGAATGTGCTGTTTGAGAATGGAACCGGGGCCATAGCCTACTGCCGTCTGAGCCTGCGCAGGTGAGATGGGGGGCCTCAGGCCAGAACCCTGGGGCCAAGCAGAGATGGGGTCCAAGAGGCTGGGAGTCGGGCAGGCAGGAGCTGCGGATGGAGAGGCCATGGGGGTGAAGGGCCAGGAAGACATTGGGGTGATCACAGGTCGTGGTGCTGCCTGGAGGTATCCCAGATGGGTGACCAAAGTGCCAGCAAGCGAGGTCAGCTGTTGGTGGGTCACCACCACAGCACGGAGCTGTGGCACCAGGTGGGGGTTGATCTAGGGCTCGGCAGCCATAAACCACTTCTAGGAACCTCACCAAATGGTGGAGGAGCGTAGAGGGGTAGAAAGTGGAGTCATGCATGGAACATTACACGGTTGTCAGGGGTGATGGTCTGACCTCAGGTGAGAATTACGGGCAGAGACATGGAAAATGAGCAGAGACGCAGAGTGCAGAACGCTGTGGATGGGAACCCAGCTCTGCGGCCCTTTTTCTATCACTCAGTTTGAGCCTCAGCACTCCCTCTGACCTGTCCAGGCATGTGGACCTCACAAGGAGGTCTGGCCCCTTGCCTGGGGCTTCCAAGTGTCCACCCAGAGGCCAGGCCAGGGCTCTTCACACACCATCAGCCTGATGCCACGGGAGCCAAGCTGTGCAGTGTGATTAGCAAGAACCTACGAGACGGCTGAAGCAACACACAGCCCACTACGTGGGAGCCTTACTGCATTATCCTCCGCTCTTCTTGATATCCATGTGGACCGTGTTCTCAGGATTCTAGTCACTAGTAAAACCACCACCCACCGTCTGTCTACACAACAGCTGACAAACTGCCACAGGCCAAAGGCAGCCGCCAGTGGACCGACTCATTCTCAGATAAACTCAAGGACACCCAGGAAGGGGAGGGCTTTGGGCAGAAGAGACTTGTGGTCTGCGTGTTCCCCACTGTCCCCCAGTTAGGAAGATCTGCGTGTCCCCCACTATCCCTCAGTTAGGAAAAGACCTGTGGTCACTACACTTCTACACTCCTCCGCTGTCAGGCACCTGAGCTCAGACTTTGGAAACTGTCCTGGGTTTGGAACCAAGAAGGAAGTGCAGCTGAGATGCAGGGCTGTGCTCATCCGACCAGGCTGCAAGTTCCCCTAAACCAGATGCCTTGTGTCTGTCCCACCCGCACCCAAACCTGTGCTTGCCGCTTGGCAGGCTTCCCGCATCATCTGGACCCTGAGCCAATCTGGAGGCAGGAACCCCTCCTGAACGGGAATGGAGGGGGTCTTTCTTCCCTGAGCATCTCTCAGGAAGTGAACCCGGCAACCCCGCCACCCTCCGGCTGAGGTCAGCTCCAGAGTCGGGTCTTAGCCCCGCCGGCGCCCCCTGCCCCCGTCCAGGTGGCGCCGGGGCGCCTCCCTCCCTCCCTCCGCCTGGCTTCTGGAAGGGGCGGCTTTGTTTCCCGGCAGCTCGGGATGGACCGTCTGACCATCCGCACCCGTGCATGTGGTTGTTGGGGGGAGGGTGTCTCTCCTTCCGAGGTCTGGGGCTGCCAGAGTGCCCGCTCAGCCGCGACCAGTGAGCGCTCGCCTCCCCTGCGGTCTCCGAGCCCGGGTTCAGTAGAGGGGTCCGGGCCTCCAGGGGCTCCGGGCTGAGTCGCTTTGTCTCGGACAAAGAGCTCCCAGCACGGCGGACGCGTGGTCCGGAGCTAGCCAGCGGCGCCGTGCGGGGAACAGCATCCGCGCCCCAGGCCTGGCCGGCGGTGCCAACAAAAGGCCGCGTCTGCCCGCCAAGCCCCGGGCAGAGCCCCGAGACCAGGTTCGCCCGCCTCGGCGCCCGTCCACCGCGGGGAGGGAGGCACCTCTGCGCTTTGCGGAGCAGGCCTCTCCCGGCCCCGCGCCCTCCCCGGGCGCAGAGGAGGTCCCGGGAAGGCGGCATGGCCTGGGACCTGTGCGTCCGGCTCGGGAAACGCGTCCGGGGAGGCGCTCGCGGAAAACCCGGCCGCCGGCGGCGCGGGAAGGAACCCGGCGGGAAGCGCCAGCGGCGGGACAGAAGCACGCACCGGGGCTAGACCCGGAGGGCAGAGCGCTAGGAGCGGAGCCGGGACAGTCCACCCGGGGCGGTGGGCAGGGGGCGTGGGGTGAAGGGGGGCTGGGTGCGGGGCTCACCGTGATCCGGGGGATGCTCTTCTTGCCCTGGAAGGACATCCTGCTCCTCCGGCCGGCGCGGTTGCCTCACTCGGCCCGCGCCGCCTAGCTCAAGCGGAGCTGGGCTGGGGTCCCGGGCGGAGGCGCGCAGAGCCCGGGAGCGTACGTGGGGGCGCAGAGCGTCCGAGTGCGAGCACGCCAGGGCGCACGGCTCCGGTTCCGAGCCCCGCCCCCGGGCCCGCCCCGCCCCCGGCCCGCCGCTGCTCCTTTGCGTTCAAGCCCCGCCCCAGCCGTGCTGAGGACCTACCAGCTGCGCGGCCCACGGCCCCTGCGGTGGCCACGGCCCGGGTCCCTGTGCCCCAGGGCCCACGCGGACCCGCGGACGCATGCTGCGTGGGGAGTGGGAGAGGGCTGCGACAGGTCCTGGCCGCTGTGTGTGCGGAGTTTGCACCCCCGGAAGGAGGGTGGAGAGGTCCCGCAAAGTCCTGCGAGGCCCGCCCTCGCCCCTGCCCCGCGGACCACCGCCAGCTCCCTGGTGACCCGAACACCCAAGGCCGCGGGGACTGAACCTAATCGCAAGTCCAGGCCCAGGCGCTGCGGAAGCCGGACTCCCTCCGGGAGGTGCCTCTGGCCAAAGCCTCGCTCCTTAGCATCTATGGCCCGGGCCTGGATCGGAACGCAGGGCGGTGTACGGGCTCTGGGACCCGGCGGTGGACACACGTCCACAAGGCTGCTCTCCGGAGGCCGCGCGGAGCTCGGGGACAAGGGGAAGAGTTGAGGAGACACAGACAGAGATAGAAAGGGATAGCGAGAGGAAGAGACAGCTACCCAGCGCCCCTGACGGACCAGAGGACCAAAACCAAGGCAGAAGAGGCCGAAAGCGCGGGCTGGGGCTGAGGCGCTGCGCAGGACAGCTTAGCCCCAGGCACAGAGGCGTTCGGTCAGGGAGAGGGAGGCCCCTCCCGATCCCTCAGGCCCCCTCGCAGAGCCTGGGGATTTGGGAAGAGGACCAGCCCCTGGCCCACGCCCCGGCGGCCTCTGCCCTGCGGCTACTACCTGCTGGGGGCCGCGGCCCTGGTTCAGCCGGGCGGTCTCCCAGACTTGCCGCAGCCTCCGGGCCATGTCGGCCTGGTTCGCCGGGTCCCTCTGGGTCGCCACGTGGCCCGCTGTAAGGCTCTCTAGCCCGAAGGCTCCGACGGCCGCCGCTCGACGCGTCCAGCTGTAGCGTCTTATTCTCAAAGGCGTCCTCCACGCAGCGGAAAACGCCGCCGAGCTTGGGCCGAGCCCGGGGGCCGCCTGCGCCCAGCGTCCCGAGGCCCGCGGGCAGAGGTTCGGCGGGCTCCTGTGGCTGGCGTGCGGCCATGGCGACAGCGGGCGAGGGCTCGCCGGTCCCCCAGCCTCCTGTGGCGGGTGTGCTCGCTGCGCGTGGACCCGGCGGCCCGGGCCTGGCTCTCCCCGCCCCCCTGCCCGCCCCCCTGCCGGACCACGAGCCAGCCGGCAAGGGGCTGGCGCTGTCCGCGCAGGGAGTGCTGAACGCGCCGGGCTGGCCCGAGGGCGCGCGTTCCGTCCGAGCGAAGTGCGTGGGTTCCCACCTCCGGCTCAACCGGCAGGGCGGGCCAGGGCACGACTGAAGAAATCACTGTCTGTCGCAACTCCAGCCACATTTCTGGGCCCCGTGGGGGGTCCTACGCCCGGCCAGGAAGCTCTGACTCTGAAACGTTTGGCAAGTGGAGAGGGTCAGGAAGATACACCCAGGAGAGCTGCTCCTGACTGCCCTTAAAGCCAAGTTCAAGGCTTTGGGGTGAGACAGGGCAGAGGGACTCAGCCCGCCCAGGGTCACAGGACGACGCTGTCCGTCTGTCAAGCCCTGTAGAGACTGACTTTTAAGGAAAAGACATCCCAGCCTCTGTCCTGTTAACGCAGCAGGCATTTCAAGATATAAGTTCGGACAATGAGGGTCACCTTGAGGACACGTGTGCTGGTGCAGCAGGAGCTTTTCTGCAGAGCTAAATCAGCAACTTTCCCACCTCTGGTCCACCTCTGGCTTCCACTCCCCCAAGGTGGTTGAAAACAGCCTCTACTTACCTGTGTGAAGTCCAGTGCAAGTGAAATCTGGTGCCCAGTGTTCTTATTCATGGACAGAAATTCTTTTACTTCCTAACCTTAAATTTTCTCTTCTGGTTCTCACTTGATAAACAGCTATGGGAGGAGCCTGCCTGGTGGCTGACCTCAGCCAGCTGCTGCCAGGCACCTGTGATTTCAGAGCCTGTCTTCCAGGTGATTTCCTGTGAGGCAGGATGAGGCTGCGGGTAACACGTCTGGCTCCCCTCCCCAGTGCGCAGGAGACCCAGTTCCCTTTCTGGTGTGGAACACGGCATCAGAAGTGGCTAGCATAGCCACTATGTCCAGACTTTAATGCCTTGGGAAGAGGGAACTTTGATCCTCTAAGATTTAAAACATTTTTTATTAAAACTGTACAATAATTTACAAATGAGTAAAAATCCTCTGGTATGTATCATAGGAATCACAATACAAAAATATGTGCAAAATTTTGTAGTTGACCACCATACAAACCTATTTTAGGCCTGTGAATACTGTTTAGCACTGAACAGAATATCACATGTTTAGAATGTGGTTAGTAAGGAGCTGCTTCAGAGAACACGGATACTGGCTGGCTATTGCCGTGGTAAAACGAGTCCTAATTCATTGTTGCATAAATTTACAATAAAGCTCTTTAAAATACAGTAAACAAATATATGATTTGATACATATATTTACAACTTGGTTTTCCTGAGCCTAAATGTAAATCCGTTACTGTGTTAAAACACACAATCCATCTTAAGGTTTCAGTGATGGGGTGATGGTCCATGTGGATTGATGTCTCCATGCCTCCAAACCCACTCCCGGCACACCTTCCTTCCTGACATCCAATGCGGTATTGACAAGCCGTGTAAGGCACGCAGGGTGTCCTGAAGGCTACGGGTTCTGCAAGAGCTGAACACTTTAAGGAAGAGCCACAGTCCTTCAGCAGCTGGACAGACCGTGGACACGTGGAAACGAGGTGCACACACTCACACATCCGTGTCAACCAGGGAGCTGTAATTTACATGGATTTCTAATGTAGACAAACAAAAACATCTGTGTTGTTGTGGGTATTGTAGACACAGTGTGATTGTGTTGATAACACATGTCCACATCTTGGTTACACAATAAACCTTTCTGGCAACTTCTGGTCCGTCCTCTTGTTTCATGAGAGAGAGTGGCATTGACACACAGCATACCCTGTTTGAGGAGTTGCAGTAACAGAGCCCAGGTACTTTCAGGAAATTCAATGCAGCCCACTGGTTTAGCATGAAAGGTATACTCTAGGATTTAGAAAAAGCATGTAATTTTAAAACACCTGAATTCTTCAGATGCTCACTGGACTAGCAGGAATCAGTGACAAATGCACCTAATCGCTTTTTGCTTTTTTTCTTTCCTTTTTTTTTTTGGCAAAAGCCCAGTCCCAAAATGCTAGATTTTGTGATCAGATGAAAAGAAGGTGCCTCAGATACATGAATAGAAACAGGGATCTCTGCAGACAAGGGCGGGCATCGCAGCTCCATGTGGGCTTTTGGGAACATGGCAATGGTACAAACACAGTTTGGTACGTGGAATATTATTTAAAACATTCACTGAGCCATTTCCACTATGTACTTTTACATTTAAGCAACAACTTAGTAAGCACTGGTCCAGATCTACATGCTTCTCTGCCCTGCAGAGTTTGCCCATTTCCAGATTACAGAGCTATGATAAGACTGTCTGGCATGTGGTGGACAGCCTATGACGTGCTCCACACAGATGTACAACATGCAAAATCACGATGATCCAAATGAACACAGGCGATGTGAATTTGGGTTTCGAGTGCACATCATTAGCTCCTGAATGGCCAGCCCGCTCGGCTGCTACTCCTGGCCAGTAACCACTGGGGCGGCAGCATGTGCCTCCCCATGCGGACTTCCTGGACGCCTGCCTCATACACTACCCAGCTCCAGTCTGGGAGTTCATCCATAGCTCCGCGGCGGCTTTGATTAGCTCAAGACTATTGTTTGACATTTGGTTCTGAGCACAACGAGTGCCGAGAGGATGGAGTCTTTGGAATGACACAAAACTATGCACGGAGGATGAAACAAGATTTCAGACTCGGTCTGCAAACCCCAGCAGCAGCCTCAGCTGGAGGAGTGGACTCACCCTGTATCTTGTCCAAGTGAGTAACTGTGGTTTTCATGACCACAGAAAGGATGGGTCCTTCCTGGACGAGTGCGGGTTAACAGTGCCCAGCAGAAATCCCGCACCTGCTAAAGAGAAGCATATCTGTCTGATCCTGTAAGCTTTCTCCGATTTCAACCTAGGGCATCAAGCCTGGTCTGGTGACAGCCGTGTGCACCAGAGTTGAACACGCCTTCTGATGCAAATAGAAAATGAACCTGACACTTGCAGACACAGTCGCCCCTCCTTTCTGCCCCTGAGAAACGCAGCTTGCTTTCCTTTCATGCTGTGTTGTTTGTTACATTCTCACCTGGCTGCAGGTGTCACCACCCAGCACATCAACCTCCAGGTGCCTCAAAAGAGCTAAAATCTTGTCTCCTGGTTGAGCATGCATGACTGCATACACAGAGACTCACGCACATGCACGCACACACGCGCACACACACACACACTTTGCACCCTCAAGGGTGTGGAGTCGATGGAAGAGCCTCTTCCAACCCGGGAGTTGGGCTGTATCTGGAAGACGTTCCTGGGCTGTGGGCCAGAGCACTCAGCAGGAAGGGAAGTCAGGCTTAAAACGGGCTTCATCGATGTGCTGTGTCCTCTCTGAAAAAGAGTGAAGACAAAAGCTTTATTCTAGTGGGAGCCCTCTGAGGCTCGCAGTGGGGAAGGTGTGGAGAGATGCCCCGGGCAAGGGCGCTGACGGAGTGTGGGCTCTGCACGGGGTGGTCGGGTTACAGAGGCTCCAGCACCAGCCACGGCGCCATGTCTTCAGCAGCTGGTGCAGGAGCTGCAAAGGGCTCCTCCTAGAAGAGCTGCAAAGATGAGTGCAGAGGTGGCCTCAGGTCTCCCTCGCCACGCCTGGGGCAGCTGTTCCCTTGAATACCCAATTTCCATGTCCTCTCGTTACCGAAATGGCAGGCCTCTGCTAGGCACCGATTCTTCCTTATTACCTTTCATATCTTTACTGTTTGGAGTGAGACATGAAGGAGCTGCTCAGGGTCCTCCGCACAAGGATGGGGTGCCCTGTATCAGCTGCAGGGATGGGGGCGTCCAGGGCAGGACCCCTGGACTCCACATGTTCCTAGTCTAAGAGGTGCTGCAGAGGATTCTTTTGGTTTGGGGTTTCTAACCTATCTTCTAAGTAGGAAGACCCCCCCCCCCCATGCAGAAGAAAAATGAAACTGGGTGGAGTCCCACACACTCACTCCCCCACAGCACACATCACAGCGGGAATCTCTGGACAATTAGAGTGACACATTGTTCTTTGTCTCTTCAATCGGATTCATATCTAAGTAGGTTCTCCTCCTATCATCTAGTTCCAGGATGTTAGAGATGAAGAGGCCTGTCCAGCCCTTCCGTTTTGCAGACAGAAAAGCTGATGCTCCAAGATAAGAGGGACCCCCGCCCCCCCTGCCGAGGTCACACTTCCAGGCCAACCAGAGCCAGGGCCCCTGCCCACCTGCCCACCAGCCCTCCCACCCCACGGCACTGCTTCTCTGAGCTAAGATGGTAACTGCCTGCGGCATGAACCTCACACATGCCAACACAGAAACAATCAGATTGAGAATAACGTGCAGAACCCTAAAAAGTCACTCCCCAGTGGAAGGAACAAGACAATGGCATCTGGTTGCCTGTGGCTGCTTGATGCCCTTTCCTGAGCCGGTCCTGCCCTATTGCTCACACACTCAGTTCACTGCCTTTGTCTCCAGAAGGGGGGACTCTCTGCCCTCATCTGTGAGCACAACACTCCGCACCCACACTCACACGCACATGCACAGAGGCATGGTTCCGCTTTCAGGATTCCAGGCTTCCCAAGTGCCTTCTGCCCCCCAGGCCCACCTCCTCTGGGGGACATGGTGTTCCCCACCCCTCCCTTTTCTGACCATGGGCCCAACTTCTTGATGGTCCCCACAGCCCAAGAACTCCTCCAAGTCGGAGCCATAAAAGCCACAGACAGGTGAGTGTGAGATCACCCGTGGGTGTGACTTTGGTCTTGTGGCCCCACGGGGCTCCTCAGTGCCCCACCAAGCCCCTGGCCCAGAGCTAGGGCAGAGCCCCGGGTGCCTCTGTGAGCAGGGCTGAGGTGGCTGTTGGTAGGAGGGCCCACGTTGCTTGCAAGGTCAGCCCTTGACTGGCGTCTGGGCCTTGCCTGCGAAGCTCTCCCAGAGTGATAAGTGATAAGTGCTGGTGGACTGACCTCAACAGCTTCTGCAAAAGATGTGATGTGTGGCATACACCTATTTTCTTCTGAGGGCCTGACATTTTCATGCACATGGATGGCTGCATTTTTGCTGCTGGGGAAGGGTGTGCTCCGTGTGGCCCCATGGGAGGTGGAGAGCACAGGAAATGTGCTTATGGATCTCTCCAGACTCTGTCCAAGTCTTTGGGACTACAGATCCAGCTGTGTGTCCTGATTACGTCACTGAGATAAATCTTAGCCACAGTACCTCTGTGCACTGGGTCCCAAGAATCCTGGTGACTCACAGAGAACGTGGGTGCTCCTGGAGACCGCCAAACACTCTGCCTCTCGCTCCTGGGAACGGAGGGAGACCGTGCGGCCGTGGGAAGGAGAAGTCATGGCGTCTGCCTCTGTGAGCATATATGTTCACTTATTTGGCTGTTCATGGGGCAAATGTTTATTTGAGTGTCTTAGGGGCCAGGTACTACTGGAGTG